GGTGACCTTTGTTACTGTGGTCCCAGCTCTCTGCAGGTCATTCACCAGGTCCCCCCGTGTGGTTCTGGGATTCTTGCTCACCGTTCTCATGATCATTTTGACCTCACTGGATGAGATCGTGCGTGGAGCCCCAGATTGAGGGAGATTATCAGTGGTCTTGTATGTCTTCCATTTTCTGATAATTGCTCCCTGTCAGGGACTTGCACAAACCAGCCAGAGAAGCACTGCTCATGAGACTCAAAACTCCATTTTATTTTGGAGCAGCTTCAAAGTTAAAAGGAACTTTAACCTAATCACAGCACAAGACACTCTCCAGAAAACAAAAGACATTTCAGACACACCAGGTTCAACTTAAATAGTGGCTGATCAGACCACTCTACATACAAGAGGGGAACAATTAACATACAATTAACACACACATCCTCACACACACACACACACACACACACACACACACACACACACACACACACACACACACACACACACACACACACACAAACTAACCACTCTAATCAATTCAGGTAACTCAAATAACTAAATCATAATTACAAACTTCCTATCCATAACACAAAACATCTACATTAAATTGAACACAAGCATAAACATGAATCTCCCCTCCCTTGGGAGTTGGTAGATCCCAGGAGTGCCGATTAGGCTTCCTGAGGAGATGAGCTGCAGGTGTGAGACTCCATGGGAAACTCCAAGTCACTGGTAACTCAAAATAGAAGTACAAAATTAACACATGCATTCATAAACAGAAGACTGATTGTGTGCACATCAACCAGTCATCCTGGACAGAACACAGAAAACACTACCAGCAGACCATGTCCATGAGGTGACAGACACTGCTGTCACACTCCCACAGTTGCTTTTTTCACACCAAGCTGCTTGCCTATTGTAGATTCACTCTTCCCAGTCTGGTGCAGGTCTACAATTCTTTTCCTGGTGTCCTTCCAAAGCTCTTTGGTCTTAGCCATAGTGGAGTTTGGAGTCTGACTGTTTGAGGCTGTGGACAGGTGTCTTTTATACAGATAATGAGTTCAAACAGGTGCCATTAATACAGGTAATGAGTGGAGGACAGAAAAGCTTCTTAAAGAAGACGTTACAGGTCTGTGAGAGCCAGAGATTTTCCTTGTTTGAAGTGACCAAATACTTATTTTCCACCCTGATTTACAAATAAATTCTTTAAAAATCCTGCCATGTGAATTCATGGATTTTTTCTTCACATTCTGTCTCTCACAGTTGAAGTGTACCTATGATGTAAATTACTGACCTCTGTCATCATTTTAAGTGGGAGAACTTGCACAATCGGTGGCTGACTAAATACTTTTTTGCCCCACTGTAGTACACGTTTACAAATATTACATATGAGTATTCAATTGTAGGGATACATTCTGCATACTTTCAAATTTCAGCATTTATAAAATAACCACATTTAAGTGTTGTTACATTTTGTTGCTGGATTTCCATTACATTGGTCACGTCCCTGTGGGCATGTTACCAGTTTGTGACTGTGAGTGTCTAATTACCGCCTCCATTATGCTGGACCACTTCACCCCCCGCTGACTCTCTTTCTCTGTTTGCAGCAGCAAACAAGCAGCTTGTGGTATCGCTGACTATACCTGCAAGGAAAGAAGAAGGGGAGGACTCATTTACATCCATATGCCCTCACAGAGAAGGAGACGAAACAAGGAAAAGGACTGATGAGATAATTTTTGAAGAGTTTAGCCACAGATGAGACAAGATAAGAGTCAACAAAAAACACAAGAAAGAAAAATAAAGAAGAAAAATCTGTACAAAGAAGAAAAAGGCAGGCCTGACTCTGGAACAACAAACAAGAAAGAAAAAGAAGACGGAGAGTTCTCCTCATTTGAAGGGTGAGAAAATGTATGGTGGTCCATATATGTGGTGTGCGCATGTGTGTGTGTGTCTGTCAGCTGGAGCTGGAAAAAAATTTAAATTTTTAATTGTTTAAACATAGTAAGCCATACTTTATAGTGTCTTCATATGACAATCAATGTGTGGCATTGCCCCTTTAAGTGAAAAAAGCCTGAAATGGGTCATTTATATCAAATAATGCATTAATTGCAAAAAAATGTTTTCGTACATGAAAACATAATAATGAATGAATTTTAATATTTTTCTGTTGGCAAAATGGGTCATAAGTCCTTGTTATGTTCTTTCTGTGTTTTACTTCTATAGTTTTTCAGTAATGTGGTAATGTAATGTAGCAAAGATTACTGGTTTTTACTTTGTTTGCTGACATTTTGGGCGTCACACTGTCACCCTCATCAGGCAGCATCTTGTTCATGGACATGTAAATAACCAGGAAAAACAGAACAAGTACTCTCAACATTACCACATACAGCAAACCAAAGCACACAGATCAATATCTTCTTTAGACATAGGAACATTCAGTCATTCACAAAATGCAAGTAATCAGTACACTATATCACCAAGCCAAAATGATAACAGAGAAAGAGGACACAAAGAAGACAAAAGGTGATTTTATAAGACACACCATGCCAGCAAATTGGCGTAATATTACCGGAATGGTATGTCTATAAACGTCCCATGCTGGCATGGCATTGCATGAATATTGCGGCATTCGTTCCGCCTCGCTTGGTAGTAATATTGCGGTAATGGTCTGTCGTATGCGCCCTGGCGCAACAGAGGCAGATGTCATGATGACGTTGGGAGTTATTGCTGAGCTCCGGCTGGCAAATTTATTGAAAATGAATGTAAACACAGGCAGTAAGGTTTACTTTTTGAACAAAATCAGCTGACATGGCAAACTGGAGTGCCGCAGCGCTCCACGAACCTCTCTGTTAGAGCTGAAGCTCAGATCACCAGAGACTGCACAGGGACTGATAGAGACAGACACCTTTAGGAGCTGCTTGTTAAAAAACAATCACGGCTTCAATCGCAATAAAAAGTAAGTTATGTCCAAGATAAACGGAAGTCTGCGGCAGCGCAGAGACCGCCCCCATACCCCCTTTATGCCGCCATCACCTAATCTTTTATAAAATTGCCACGATTGCGCCACATTACCGCCACGTTCTGATCTTATAAACGACCTTTATCCTCTCCAGGGAGCCGTGGCAAATCCCGTTTTGAAAACGCTTTGGTCCTGTAAAAACGGCTAAAGACATACTTGTGTTATAAATCTGCAGATAAGTCTGCTCACCACAGCCATGGAATACACCTCATCAACACGCACTAAAACTGTATTGGAGCAGGCGGAGAGAGAATAGGGGTCTTAGCAGACCTCTGTTGTTGCTTGGCTTCCCGGGGCTGGAGGCTAGGAGTGGGAGCTGGCCGTCATGTTGGGGTCTGGGGTGGTGGGATGCTTTGCTCGGCATTGGGCGAGGGTGCCTTCTCATCATCACCCCCAGCAGAAAGGAGCAAACTCTGGGAACCGGTGATGGTTGTACCCCTTGTGCAGCAGTACCAGGACCAGAGTGAATAGGGTGTGTATGGGGAGCGTGAGTGGGTGTCTAGCGTTTATTTCTGTAAGTCTTAGGTTGCATGTGTATGTGGGAGCTTGAGGGAGGAGTGTGTGACTGTGTCTGTGTATGGCTGTATATGTCAGGTGGGGTCTTGGACTCCTGCCCCTCCACGGACTTCTTGTGGTACTAAACATCATCGCCTACCCTCCCCCTGCCACATTTGGTGTGGAGTTTAGTGCCTTGGTCTGCCCGAGTGTTCACGGCTCCCGGGTCAGGGGTTTTAAGATTTTTGGAGTCTGCCTGATTGATCCCGGTGGCTGCGTGGTGGGATCTGAGTCCATGGGCTCTGTTGGGTCCCCAGCGGGGCTGGTCGCCCCTGGGTCCCGGGCCGCTGGCTTCCGGGCTTGGCCGACTTGGGGGTGGGAGGCTGCGGGCAGGCCTGTGGGCTTGCTGCTGCTATCTCCTAAATATAAATATGGAAATTCAGTCTTATCAGTTTTTGACTGTTTAACCAGAAGATTTAGAATTCTTTGTTTATTCAGGGATTGTAAGACACTTTGTAATAATTCAAGAAGAGAGTCAAGTTTATAAAAAAGCAAGAAATTTATTTTCTAAACAATTAAAACATGACAACCCCCAGTGTTTCCCCTAGGAAATTTTCCAGCTGTGGTGGTGGTGGTGGTGGGGGGGGGGGGGGGGGGATGACACGTTTCACCTTTATGTTGCTATTGTTTTATTAGACGCACTCCACTTTTAACTGCTCCAATCCAGCAACTGCTGCATTTTAATAACTAGTATTAAAGGTGAATACACCAATATTTGCACAAGAATAATTTTTGATTTAAACTCTCAGTGACACACTTTGCGGGGGGGGGGGGGGGGGGGGGGGGTTGGCATTTAATTTTTCTTGGCATCTGGAAAAACATCTTCTGCCCCCCTTTATTTGACTTTCTGCCCCCTTTATTTTGGTCCAAGATCATTACTGGACTGGCCCTGTTAAAAACCTTCTACACCCCTGCTTGGTAGACTTAAAGGCAGGGTCCGTAAGATGACACTGGCAGGGTGAGGAGGAGGAGATTTTTAAATTTGAACGGCTGTTGCTCACTCCCCCGCCCTTCCTGAAAGAGCCGAAAGCCACACCTCCTAATGTGCACGCGCAGGAAAAGCCGAGTCAACACCAGAGCATTGCTTCTTCGTAATAGAGCTGAGGTAAGTGTTAGCAATGGAGTTATATGAGGTAAGACAGTTGTTTTAAACCAGCACATTAAACACTTACTGTTTACACAAGGCATTTTATAAAGAATATCTATAAGTATATATATATATATTTATTTTTTTTAAATACCAGTAACAGTTGACAATCTATATTGTAAATAAAATTAATCCTATCAAATTGTTAGCATTTTATTATGAGTAATTGGCTTATTTTTAATTGCTTTGCCATTCAAGATGGGATGAATATATCAAAGCATATAAATAATTTATGCGGAAATCATGAATAAACACTGCATTCTGTGTAGTCCTCCTATAATCATGGTTGTTTTCGGGCCATTCCACCGAATGGGTGCCATTTCCATCCATTTCCGTCCCCAGGAGGTTTTTTGAATCAAGGTGCATGAAAATTTACGGGTAAATAATTTTTGTTATTAAACAAAAGGTCCTGCATAAGTATCTGAGTGTAAATTTAACATTAATCTTGGGCAAGAATAATAGAAAGTACTTTGAACACTGAAAAAACATTTCAGTGCATGTATTTTTCACCTGTCCCTGATCTTTAACATTACTCTTAGAGTGAAATATAATTAATAAAATCCCCCCCAAATTTATCTTTTTTTTGCATTTTTGCGTGACTCTATATCCTGTCTATGTTTCACAAATACTTTTTTCAAAACAATTTTATACTTTATTTGTTAAAATACACATTTTAGTTGTGTCCCTAGGTTTACACTCAGTCCTGTTACCCAAATACATTACCCCATCTGTTTTATTTTGAAAATTCCAAAGGTGACCCATACAACAGGAAGTTGCATCATAAGGATCTTCAAAAGGCCATGGGAAGACCAAAAGTAAGGTCTCTCATTCATTTTTCTGTCTATTTAATAATATATTAGCTGTAAATGACGAGGTCAATCTCAACATACTGTCCTGTTACTTTAATTATATCTTACTTACCATTTGTTTATTTTAAAAATACACATTTTTGGTAAATCACTAGATTGTGCTTTATGTCCTCATGCTATTAGCAACGATGTGATGTGGCTATATTTGGTGTATTTGCTAACTCTATGCTAAAAACTCAGTCCTGTTACTTTCAGTCCTGTTACCCATATGAGAAGTAACAGGACTGAGTAATGGTAACAGGGCTGAGTAGAGTTCATTGATGAAGTGATAATTTTTTAGATAGAATATATTATTATTTTACACTATTGACTTGATTTTATTTATTTATTTATTTATTATTTTACTTTTACACTTGACATTGCAGAGGTTGTGATCTAAGATCAGTTTTGTAATGTGACTTTAATGCTTGCAGGGAGCAAAGCCACCACATAGTGCAGCAGAAAAGCAGCGGCTCTATCGGGCTCGACGTGATGCCGACCCAGAGCGGAGGGAAAGATATCTTGAGAGGGAAAAAAGAAAATACAGGGAGGACTTAGAATCAGGCAAGAAGAAAACAATTGACCAACTAAGTGAGAGAGAAAAGCGCAGACGACGCAAAAAGTGGAGGGAGACATACCATACAATCAAAGACAGAAAAAAAGTTCAGCAGTACCTTGTGACCCCTCCAAACACACCCCAACTCTCACCAGAGCAAGCTATAGATCCACAACCAAGAACTTCCAGGTCCAATTTATGAAATTGATATCCATCTGTTTATACAATATAATAACATTAATTTGTAACATCTGAAATATGTAAATAAGTGCTATTTTGACATGTTTCTTCTAGGCAATGTGATCAGGGGCGGAGAAGACGACGAAAAACACTAAAGAACCTTGAAAAACAAATTCATCAACTACAAGGCCTATTGAGGAAACAAACCCAGAAAACAGAAAAATACAAGAAAAAAGTCCAGCGCATGACAAAGAAAGTCCTAAAAAAGAAGACAAAAGAAACTGAGTCTCCACGCACAAAAGTTAAAAGACAGATGACACAGCTTCCACCAGCAGCCATTCAAAAAACTCTTCTGTTTCATGAGGCTCTGGTGGACGGCATCCGAAACAAATACAGAAAAGCACAGGGGGAAAAAGAAAGGCAAATAATTGCAAAAGTACTAACAGGAAAAGTCCTTAAAAAGTACAGATTGCAACGCTTGGCTCAAAACTCATTAGGATTTTCAAAGAAAAGATGGAGGAATGATGAGAATGTCAACTACAGCTACCAACGGAAGCGGAACAGCAGGGTTCCAGATAGTTTGACAAGTAGAGTGAGAGCTTTCTACACAAGGGATGATGTTAGTCGTATCACAACAGGGAAGAGACAGACCATCACTTGGAAGAAAACTAAAAAGCAGAAACGGTTCCTTTTGGATACCATGAAAAATTTGCACATGAAGTTTTTAGCTGAAGAGCAAAGCTCCATCTCTTACTCACTCTTCTGTTTGCTTCGTCCTTTCTGGGTTATTCATCCAACTCTGAGTGATCGGGACACATGCATGTGCAAGATGCATGAGAATCTGGGTTTTATTGTACAGAAGCTGCACAACTTGAAAGTGATCAGCACTATCAACCTGGAAGATCTTGTGAAAACCATCGCATGTGACACAGAAAACATGAAGTGCATGTATGGAGAATGCTCTGAGTGCAAGAATCTATGCTGCCCAGTCTCCTCCAAGTACAATCCAGAGAGTCAAGAGACATATCTCGAATGGGCAATAGTGGATAAAGAGCATAACAATGACCCCAGTGGCAAAACATCTAAAATCACAATCAAACAAGAATCCCAGGCAACACAAGAAGAACTTCTGGACCAGCTGAACCTGCTGCTGCATAGGTTTAAGAGACATTCTTATAACATCAAGAATCAGTTTACCCACTACAGGGCACTGAGACAGGGCTTGAAGTCACATGAATGTTTAATTCACGTTGACTTCTCTGAAAATTACGTCTGCAAGTACAGCACAGAAATACAGGCTGTCCACTTTGGAGCATCACACCAGCAGGCAACACTGCACACAGGTGTGCTTTATGTGAACACATCCTCCTGCCCTATGTCCTTCTGCACAGTGTCCCCCTCAAGACTGAAGGGTCCACCAGCAATCTGGCAGCATTTGTCACCAGTCCTTGATTATGTGCATGTGGCACATCCAGAGGTCTCCACAATCCATTTTTACAGTGATGGCCCATGCACTCAGTATAGACAGCGAGGGAATTTTTTCATGTTTTGTACTGAGCTGTTCAAACAAGGATTCACTGCTGGAACATGGAACTTCTTTGAGGCGAGCCATGGGAAGGGGGCACCAGATGGTGTAGGAGGAGCTCTGAAGAGGAGAGCCGACAGTCTGGTCAGCAAAGGGACAGACATTCCTCATGCTGCCAAATTCTTTGATGTGTTGCAAAAGACAGAAACAACAATTAAGTTGTTTTTTGTCAATGAGGAAGCAGTGGAGAAAGCTGTTCAGGAGATGCCAAATGATGTGCCATCAATTCCCTCCACAATGAGGATACATCAGGTGGTAACCCTTGCCCAAGGAGAACTGACATACAGAGATATCAGCTGCTTGTGCACAACAAGACAAAATCTAACTTGTAAGTGCTTTAATGCAAAGTCTTTCACGTTGGATCATCAACAGGCAGCACTCAGAGCCACAGAAATTATGTGGCAAAGTTCAGACATTGTTGGCAAATGGTGTGTGGTTAAGTATGATGATGACATATACCCAGGTGTCATCACAGATACATCTGAAACACATGTTGAGGTCCGTTGCATGCACAAAATTGGGGTCAACAGGTTTTTCTGGCCAGCGCGCAAAGACCTGCTGTGGTACCTCTTTGAGGACATTTTGTGCATCATCCCACCCCTGAGGCAGGTCACATCTCGCTATATGGCAATTGAAAAGGGGGTCTGGGACCAACTTGACAGTGTGCCTTAGAAAAGGCCACACAAAGCCCCTGTAGCACATGTGCCCCGTGTTCATTGGTCATTCCTGTTACCCTCTGTTCATTCCTGTTACAGCTTGTTCATTTCTGTTACTCAGTTGTTTGTCTGTAAAAAAACGATAAAAATGAACTTATTTTTTCAATCATATTTGTTCCACCATTTATTAAATAGTTTACTGAATTACATTAGAATAAATTTTATTAACTAGAGCCCTGTGTCTCCTTGAAATGAAAAATATGGCTTTTGATCTTTCAAAAAATTACAACTTTTGTATGTTCATGTGAATTTTTTTATAACAAACATTAAATATTTGAACTTAAAACTAACCTTTTTATTAAAATAAACACTTTCTTGAGGGGAAAATGAAGGAATTAGTTGACAGTCTTCTATATGTGCTTTTTAAGAAGTTACATGAGTTTTGGTAACAGGACTGAAAATAAAGCAAACACGTTCATCTAAAAAAACATGTAAAAAATTAATTAAAGGCATTTAAGATTGACCAATGATCATTTGAAATAGTTAAATAAGTGTGTTACTAGATTTACTTTTGAAAATTGCATTAAAACCCAGTTTAATTTGATGCACTTGCATAAAATAAATGGCACCTATTCGGTGGAATTACCCTTTCATAGTTTCTGGTTATTGTTGGTTTAGCCCAAATTTGGACCAGATGTAAACCTGATCTGTGTCAAAATTGATTAATATGCAAGAGTACTTTTTATATTCGTATAATTATTATTTTTTTATTCTAATACAGTTTAGAGTTCAGTGATGAATCCTCTGAGGAAGTTTGAACCTCCCATTGCATCCTCAGGACGTGGTGCAAAAAGGAGATGCCCACCATCATCTCAAAGTCGTGGTGCATCCAGATGCCGAAGAAGTGCGAGACACTCAGCTGTGGACCTTGGAGATGAAGATATCACTCGAGTTTGGAATCTTCATTCCGAGCGAATAGACTTTGAACGTGTAAGCATAACAATATTACACTAAATGATCCTAAATACTGTTGCTGTAGCATCTCTTTCCACTTTTGTAGCAACACATACAGAACCTGAACCCTCAGCAGGCTATTGACATCCTTACCATGGTGCTGGACAGAGACCCTGGTGTTTTGATGTACTTGGCCTCTCTGGTCCACCTGCCACAACACCTCCAACCAACCTTCATGGTGTGTATGCTCCCACTGCAGAGAGATGCCAACTGATTTGGAAAGGAAATGCTGCCAACAGCCTCCCCAGACATGTATTTCAACTGTCCCCGCACTTGGAGGAGTTTATTCTGCAAAATGGTGTTCTTCGCCTGGCCAGAACATTGTGGAATGAGATTCAAGCGGTTTATGATGACCCAGACCCTGGTGAGGACAAGACAGTTCCGCCATGCAGCTTACAGACAATTTGTAGCATGGCAGCATGGAAAACTTGGTGGAGGGCACAGGGTAGTAATCCCAAGCTGTGTTGTCTGGAGGATAAGGGAAAAATTCCCTGACCCCAATGGTAACTACACTGGTTTTATTCCAAGACGATTGTAAATAATTGTATATATTTAATATTTTACATCAGTTTGTTTTTTATACATTTTTGTTTGATGCTCTAATAAAGAGTTCTAAAGCATAACTCTGTGTTGCATTTGCATAAATACCATAAATGTTAAAACTCCTGCACAACAACAAAAACTTATGTCTACCTCCAGCATTTTACATACATTTTTAAAGTATTAGTCCTTATTTCCCCCCAAAATATCTTTATTTTCAAAAAAAAAAAAAAAAAAAAAGGAAACACGAAAATAAAGAAGGTTTTGGGTTTTCTCTTGCCTCCCCCAACACCTATGTCTTTGGCTGAGTTTTACCTTTAAATAAAAAATAAATTCAATTAGCAATGGACTATTGTGTGGAAGATGTAAGGCAGATAATGTTTTATTTTACCATCACCGCAAGTCCGTAGGTGTTGTAGAAGTTCCTCTGTTGATGGTGCAGGGACTCCAGACAGCAGACCATAACGCCTTGGATCCTCAGGCCTTAGCTTGTAGCGTCGAGGAAGACCTTTCAAATTTATTAAAATAAAAAGTTGTGATCACAGGCTAAACAAGTAAAAGAAACACAATATTATGTTATATAGCCATCTCTTAGTTTACACATCTATGTTATTGTAAGATATAATGAAAAGAAGGTCAGAGAAACTACTAAATAATTGACTGTAGCATGAAAAGCATGCAAATCACATTATATTTTTACATTTTCCTGCTAAAACAAATCTAATTGAAATTGGTAAAGTATCTCCTCAGCCAAGTGAGTTCAACGTGAGCTGCTAATCACTCATTTTAATATGATTTGCCTTTTCAAAACAGGGAAACCTAATAAAATACTTGAATTTGGCACTCGATTATTGCTATGACTGCAACAGGCTAAATAGTGTGATATCAGGCTAACTGACAGCCAGTGTGACCGTGTTTTGGATATGTTTTAGGCCATTCCCATCTGTACCGGGTCGGCCCGGGTCGGGTAGCCCCAGTCGGCCCCAGCCTGGCCCGGTTGATTCCACACACCCTTGCCTTAAGCCCATGTGGGCTGATTCTAGCCACCAATCAGAGGCTTGCTCTAATGGAAGGTGTGAATTTGCTGTCAGCAGTGGGTGTGTTGGCCCTGGTCGGCCTGAAGCAGACCCCCTCGAGAAGAGGGCTGAGAATGAGCCTTGGTCGGCCCGGAAAAATACCAGGCCACCCAGATATGTAAACAACCTACCCTACCCGGCCCGGGCCGACCCGGTACAGATGGGAATGGCCCATTTGTGGTCAGATACGTCTTTTTCCAACAGCTAATGTGTCTCCCCAGCCTTCACAGATTTCTGCACGAGCTGATTATCATTCCTTTTATTTTAATATGGAGTAGTCACGTAGGTAAAACCAGACAGTAATTAGCATTCAAGCTAATGCTACATTAGCCAATAGGACACTAAGCATACAAAGCTTGTTTGCTCTATTACTTATTTCAGTGAAAGAAAGATTTTAAGTAAATTTATCCGAAAAACAATAAATATCTTACCTGTCCAAAAGATACTTTGCCAACTCTTCATCCGTTTTCATGCCGCGTAGATCACGAAAATCTCTCCATGGTGTAAAACAATCCCCAATGTAAATTCAACTCGTCTTAAACGTCTTACAGCCACTTTTGAAGAAAGGCTTTTAAAATTTTAAATGTTTTTTGAGATGTGGAAGGCAGGCGAGGACTCGGTAATTTGGGGGTTTGTTGCTCCATGTTTCTCCAGTCCTCTAAAAGCCAAGTGAGGCGCGTGACACTGTTGTGCACGCTGAGATTTAATGCTCGTTCTCGATGATTGACAGCTACCCCTGGTGGTCAACGCGTTAGGCTTGAAGAAATATTGGCTGAGCTCTACAGGAGAGGGGAGGGACTTAGGAGAAAATTAAAAATGAAAGATTATTTACCTTTTTTTAATAAAATTGGGTCAGATGGTCAAAATTAAACATTTTTAAAGTTATTTCACATTTAAAACTTATGTACCCTGCCTTTAATGAAGTATTTTTAAGCCAGTATAAAAATGATTGAAACACAAATTTACATATTTGGCATTATTGACCAATATCTTTGATTTAATTTATGTGTTAACATCAAGATGCATTACAGTGAACATTATAATAAAGTAAAATTTTCTAGTGCAGAGAGGAGGCAACCCATAAAAGCACTGATTTGATCTCATTTCAGAGAAAAATTGAACAGGTTAGATGCACCTAATTCAATTCAATTGAAGTTTATTTATGTAGCGCCAAATCACGACAAGAGTTGTCTCAAGGCACTTCACATAATAAACATTCCAATTCAGGTCAGTTCATTAACCCAATCAGAATTAATGTTTCCTATACTGTATAAGGAACCCAGCAAATTGCATCAAGTCACTGACTAGTGTCAGTGACTATACAGCAATCCTCACACTAAGCAAGCATAAAGCGACAGTGGAGAGGAAAACTCCCTTTTAACAGGAAGAAACCTCCAGAGAATCCTGGCTCAGTATAAGCAGCCATCCTCCACGACTCACTGGGGATCGAGAAGACTGAGCACACACACACACACACACACACACACACACACACACACGCGCGCGCGCACACGCGCACACACACACACACACACACACACACGCATACACACACACACACACACACACACACACACACACACACACACACACACACACACACACACGGACAAGTAATGTGTCTATAGTTATATTGTGATGTCTTAGTAAATATTCTATTTGGTGAAAGATAAACTTTATTCTATTTATCCTAGTGGATCTATAATTAAACGGATAAACTAGTATTAGCACATCAAAAGTCAAGGAAACCAAAAAGTTATTATCAGGAGAGGGAGAATGTTTTAGTGGTTAGCAGCAGTGTGCTAGTCGATGGCCCCCTCCATGAGGCCACCACAGCTCAACAGAACGTCATTGTCGCTTCTTCTGGGGAGAAAAACACTTACAGAGAAAATAAAGTTAACAGCTGAAATTGCACAAAATAGTACAGTTAAAGAGCAGATTGTAGAAGAAAGCAGTAGAGTGTGAAAAGTGGTCAGTGTGTCCTCCAGCAGTCTAAGCCTATAGCAGCAAAACTACAGAGATAACTCTGGATAATCTATCCTATTTAGATGTAGGCATGTTGGAGGCAGGGCAAGGGAGAGCCGTCTGTACCGACTGTACACTCCACCTCCCTGTACTCCCCCACTTGTCCAGATTTAGGCTGACATCAGATTTTAACCATTGGCCCTATCAAATAAAAATGTTTAAGCCTATTCTTAAAAGTAGACAAAGTGTCTGCCTCACGGACTAAGGCTGGGAGCTGATTCCACAGGAGAGGAGCCTGATAACTAAAAGATCTGCATCCCATCCTAATTTTAGATATTCTTGGAACCACCAGTAGACCTGCAGTCTGAGAGCGAAGTGCTCGGTTAGGAACACATGGAACAATCAGATTCCTGATGTGTGATGGACCTTGATTATTAAGAGCTTTATATGTGAGAAGGAGGATCTTTAAATCTATTCTGAATTTAACAGGTAGCCAATGTAGGGAAGCTAAGACAGGAGAGATATGATCTCTTTTTAATTTTCATCAGAACTCTAGCTGCAGCATTTTGGACAAGCTGAAGACTTTTAACTACATTCTGTGGACTTCCTGAGAGTAATGAATTACAGTAATCCAGTCTTGATGTAATAAATGCATGAACTAGTTTTTCAGCATCACTCCTGGAAAGTATGCTTCTAATCTTAGCAATATTCCGAAGGTGGAAAAAGGAAATCCTACAAACTTGTGAAACCTGGGATTTGAATGACATGTCCTGGTCAAAGATAACACCAAGGTTCCTTGCTTTGTTTGCAGAGATTAATGTAATGCCAATAAGGTGAGGCGATTGGCTAAGCAATTTCCTTTTCTGGATTTCTGGCCTAAAGATGAGAACTTCTGTCTTGTCTTGATTTAAAAGCAAAAAGTTTAGAGTCATCCAATTTTTTATGTCCTCAAGACAAGCCTGTAATCTACCCAACCGATTATGTTCATCAGGGTTAATGGATAAATATAGCTGAGTATCGTCAGCATAACAGTGTAAGTTTATCCCATGCTGTCTAATGATTTTACCAATTGGGAGCATATATATAGTAAAAAGAATTGGTCCAAGCACTGAACCCTGTGGTACTCCACAAGTAACCCTGGAGTATGAAGAAGATTTGTCATGTACATTTACAAAATGAAATCTGTCAGACAGGTAGGATTTAAACCAGCCTAACGCTGTTCCTTTGATCCCTACAACATGTTCAAGTCTTTCTAAAAGAACATTGTGATCAACTGTGTCAAAGGCAGCACTGAGATCTAACAAGACTAGAACAGACACAAGATTCTTATCTGAGGCCATGAGAATATCATTTGTAACTCTCACTAATGCAGTTTCAGTGCTGTGATACTCTCTAAAATCAGACTGAAATTCCTCAAACAGAGCATTAGTGTTTAAATGCTGATATACTTGGGTGGCCACTATTTTCTCCAGGACTTTGGATAAAAATGGAAGGTTAGATATTGGTCTATTATTCATTGGGTCATCTGGATCCAGAGAAGGCTTCTTAAGTGAAGGTTTGATTACAGCAACCTTAAAATCTTGTGGTACATACCCATTTACTAAGGATAGATTGATTGTATCTAGAATGGGGGCAGTAACCAAAGGAAATACTTCTTTAAATAATTTGGTTGGGATTGGATCCAAAATGCAAGTTGAAGGTTTAGATGAAGCTAATATTTTTGATAACTCTGAATGCTCAACTGGATGAAAACGGTTCAAGCACAGATGAGGTTCTACAGTCACCTCTGAAGCTGCCTCACTTACTGAGGAAGAAGAAATCGCATTAGTGAGGATGCTAAAGATTTTGTTTCTAATAGAATTAATTTTACTTGTAAAAAATCCCATGAAGTCATTGCTGCTGAGGGCTAAGGGAATAGATGGCTCAGAGCTATGATTCTGTGTAAGTTTAGCAACTGTACTGAAAAGAAATTTAGGATTATGCTTATTCTCCTCAATTAGTGCTGAAAAATAAGCAGTTCTAGTTTGTTGAAGCTTATTTTTATAAAGCACAAGACTATTTTTCCAGGATAGGTAGGCCTCCTCATGGTATGTAGAGCGCCTTGTTCTCTCCAATTTCCTAGAGTTTTGTTTTAAGGCTCGTAAATGAGAATTAAACCAGGGAGCCGGATT